CCGGTCATCTTAAAAAAAAAAAAGAAATGGAATGATTTTTTAACGTAAACTCCATAACTTCTCAACCTCTAGGAAAATCCTAGGAGATCCAGACTAATCTTAGGGTTAAAGATGTTTCTTTTTCTTTCTGTTCTTGTTTTACCCTTACTTATTCTGTACTTGTTTCAGAGGGCTAGAAAAATCACCAATACTTGTAGTTTTCTCTCCTTCTTTATTCCCAGGAGTTATGGTAGTGGTAGTGGTGGAAAAATTCTCTGATGACACCCCCATCACTGGATAGACCTTACATTGGGAGATCCCTGGTAGAAAAGCTATAAAACAAGAAAGAAATAATGAAAGGACAACTTTAGGAGAAAACTTTATCTTACCTTCAGTTTTACCTGTTAAGCCCTTGCTCTACCCAGCTGAGATTAAACTTCTAATTGTAGCTCCATTTGACCTGTCTGTCCATAGGTTTAGGGTGTGGGCACAAAATAATGCCAGGAATAAATGAGAATAGAGCTACTAATAAGAGATATGGATTAAACCCCCATGGGTCCTTTGACTAACGTATGATCAGAGTGCAGGAGTAGATTAGACCTTGTTTGCCTATCATTCTCAAGGCTATAATAATAATAAAGATAGAAGGTGTAACACTGGTGAAAGTTTCCTTCTTTTCAAAACTTGGCTCTAAAGTCCAAGGAAGAATGTGAAATATTGGAATTTGCCCTAATGACTGCTGCAAGTCTGCTAGTGGAATCTAAGTCAACTACTCTGAAAGGGGATTGGGAAAAGCAGGAGAAGCTGGAAGAAGGAAAGGCTGCCCAGCTTCATACACTCCTTAATTTCATTTATTCATCAGATATTTAAAAATAACAGGCACTGGCTCAGTATTTTGTATTTATCAGTTGGACACATTCTAGCAAGAGAGCAAGCAAAAAGAGGGAGAGTTGGTGGGTGGGAAGTAGACAACCATGGACATAATACGTTTTATGGTAGATTAGAAAAAGGGTTAAGTGCTATTTTTAAAAAATTAAAAGTAGAGCAAAGGAAGTAGTCTGAGGGATATGGACGGGCAATTGTTGTGTAACCTGCAGTATAGGCTAGGTCTCATTGAGGAGAGAATCGAGCCAAGACTTGAAGGAAATGAGGGAATTATCCAAGCAGATGCCTGGGGAAGTAGTGACCTAAGCAGAGGGGACATCTAGAGTAAAGGCCCCAAGGCAGAATGTGTCTGGCATGGTTACAGCTTTAGAGGAGTAGCAAGGTGGCCAATGAGACTGGACGACCTAAGCAGAGGGGACATCTAGAGTAAAGGCCCCAAGGCAGAATGTGTCTGGCATGGTTAGAGCTTTAGAGGAGTAGCAAGGTGGCCAATGAGACTGGAGTGGCGTGACCAAGGGGAACAACTGTAGGAGATAGGGATCTAGAGGAAAGGGCCCGTATCATTTAAAGCCTTGAAGGCCAGTTTAAAGACTTCCGGTTTTTATTTTAATTGAAATGAAGATCCATTGCAAGGTTTTGAGCAGAGGAGTGACAGGATAGCTTTGATTTTAAAGGATCCATGGGCTGCTGTATTGGGAATGTACTACAGGGGGTAACGGTAGAAGCAGGGTAAGCTGTTAGGAGGCTATCACAGAAATCCAGGGGAGAGGTGAGATGATTCATACCAGCAGTGGAAGTGATGAGAAGTGGAGGGGTTCTGGCTGTAGTCTGGAACTAACTTCACTTGCCTCCAGGATTGAACTAATCTAATTCAGACGGTGGTTCCGTCTCATATCATTGCCTATTAAATTAAGGTCTGTAAGTTCTACTTGACTTTTCTACATTACTCTTCCATGTCTTAATTAAATCTGTGTGAAAATGATAGTTCTTTACTTCAGAGGCCAGTGGCCACAGTACCAAGCACAGTACATGAAATTACAGGGGAAGAATTTATCCCTGATATCAGTTTAATCAAGAGATCAGTGATGACAGAGACAATACAGAAAGTCAACAGATTTAAAAGGAAAAACAAGGAAATTTTCAGCATAGTGTCAATCAGTTCTCTGAAGCAGTAACATACATGAGACAGATGAGATGAAGATAAAATCTCAGTTTTGACAAGTCACGTAAGTTCTCCGAGTTTTGATTTCCTTATTTGTAAAATGGTTATAATAAAATAATACTTGGCCTACCTATTTCACAGGGGTGTTTGTGAAGATCAGAAACAAATAAAAATGAGAAAGCAGTTGTGAAAACATGTTGCAAATGGAGTGATATTATGATTGAAAGAAGAAATGTCTAGAAATGTCTGAGTAGAACTAGACATGTCTGAGTAGAACTCTGCCCTCTAGATACAGGGATAATGGTATTTCAGTGTGGCATGTCTTCCCATTACCTGGGAACCACTGCTTCAAAGTTTACTAAATAGGATTAATCTGTCATTATATTTTCAGTTCTGCCTGGTTTCTGTTAATGTCCATTCATGTTGGCAGCTCATCTCCTTTAGGTCTTCTCTGCTAGTTAACTGAGCATTAAGGTGGAACAAATTTGTAAATACAAACGCTTCATTCCCAGTGATGATGGAATTGTAACATTAGCTTTTCTTTTGCTAAAGATATCGAAACAAGAATGCCCCAATTTAAGGCGATATACAAAAATCTAAACTTATGAAATGGATAATGTAGGATAGTAATTTGGGATAATAAAGCGTCAAAGGATGCTTTACTTTACAAAATAATTTATTTTTATAGGGAACATTATATACCTTATATGTAAAAAGAAATCTCCCTTAGAGATTATTCTATATTAATACGAGCAGGTTGAAGGGCCATTTGAGAGGCCTTACATATGAGAGTGTGCTTGAAGACCTACTCTCAGCTTTGCATAGCTAGAAATTAGACCATCTAGTCAGAGCTCCCATTTGTAGCTGCAGAAACTGAACAGTAGAGAAATTAAGTAACTTGTCAAAGGTGATAATTAATATCAGAATAATTTGATGTTATTTTTCCTATACCTCATAGTTTCAGGCAGGGTAACCAGCCCTTAGGAATTAGCTCACACTAATCAAATTCCAAAGAACCTAATCCCCATAGTAAAATGACATTTTAAAAAATTTACATAGACTTGGCTGGCTGCTTAGCTCAGTTGGTTAGAGCATGCTGTTATAACACCAAGGTCAAGGGTTCTGATCCCTATACCAGCCAGCTGCAAAAAAAAAAAAAATCACATAGGGAATGTATTTGTCAAATGGATCAGATAGGACATTTTTTTCTCTTCTTAGTATCCTGTTCTAAACATATGGGTTCTGGGCTGGCAAGTTAGCTCAGTTGGGAGAGCGAGGTGCTGGTGATACTAAGGTCAAGGGTTCAGATCCCCATACCAATCAGCCACCAAAGAAATAAAGAATAATAAACATATAGGTTCCTATGAAACCTAATGCATACTTGGAAAGTTATTTTATTAATATAGAATCGGAGCAATAGGATCTAGATGGTATAAACTGTATCCATAAGTGTTAAAGAACTAATGAGTCATCTTTCTTCACCAGAAGGAAATTTCAGAATATTTATAATAGAGGGTCTTTTCCTTGGCTGAATTCCATTAACAGCAACAAGTAGTCTTCATCTTACCCTTTTCTATGTTCCATATCAACACATGTCTTCTTATGACCATCTGCATTGAGTACATTTTTATCCTTATGGTTTCACATTTCTATTTGGGGACATTTTCATGAACTATCTTCTGTTTCTAGGACATCCACCTATGGAGACTGATCTCATCCACAGAGTAGTAACTTCAGAGAGCATCTCTTTTATGACCTTGTACATTTGATCATTTATCTAATTTTTATTTCTACCTTATTGAAGTCTGATACATCCTGTTACCCAATGTAGGTTTAAATTCAGAATAGGCAGTTTCCAACTTATATAAGGGGTTATGTTTGGGGCCGGCCCGGTGGCGCACTGGATAAGTGCGCCGCTTGGGAAGCGCGGCGGCGCTCCCACCCGAGGGTTCGGATCCCACATACAGACCGGTTCCCGCTCACTGGCTGAGCGAGGCGCGGGGGCAACACCGAGGGTTGCAATCCCATTGCTGGTCCCCGGTCCGGTACGGGGGCAACACTGAGGGTTGCGATCCGTTGCCAGAAACGGAAAAAGACAAAAAAAAAAAATAAGGGGTTATGTTTCAAAAGTCTGTTCATAAATTGGCTGTTTGGAATTCATCATTGTAGTTTCACAAAAATGTATGGTGAATGATGGTTAGGCCCTAAACTAACCTTCAAAGATTCATTTAGTCTCTTTGCATGGCTCAGATAGTACAAGGTACTAGTTTAAACTCTGGATCTCAGAACCAACCAAGAGGAGGAACTTCCTCCTTTCCTGGGAGGCTAGCTCAAGGCAAATTTTTAAATTAGGACAGATTGATCTTTGACATCTCTCCATCCTCCCCCTGAACCTCCCAGTTTTCCTTATTGCAAATTTCTTTTTTTTTTTTTTTTTAAAAAAGAGATGAGCGGCAAGGGGATCCTTAACCCTTGGCTTGATGTTGTCAGCACCACGCTCAGCCAGTGAGCTAACTGGCCATCCCTGTACAGGGTCCAAACCCATGGCCGTGGTGTTATCAGCACCACACTCTCCTGAGTGAGCCACAGGCCGGACCCTTGTTGCAAATTTCTAAGAGCTAATGTCCTTAATTGCCCTGAGTCCCACATATATACTGTATAGCAGTATATTCACCCTGCCCGGAGAGCCCCAGACTCCACAATGACTTAAGTCCACTATTCCCCATCACAACTAGCATTGACTCAAGCAGGGTGTCACATGTTAAGAGGAAAAAAATCTGATCGAATTAATTTGCATTAATGTTGAATAACTGAAAGCCTAAAACCCTACCGGAGGCTTCTAAGTTTTTAATAGTTTTTTTGTCCCCACAAATTATCACTGGTAGGATTTTAGAAAGTATGATGAAGTGAGTGAAACATTCAGGTCATATGAGGATATATAACTTACTATATCCGGGCCTCATCCTGAGAGCCTATCCACTTATTTCCCAGTCTCTAGTTTTTGAAGTTTTTTTCCTTTTATTCTGGTTATAAACTCCCACTTTCTCTAAAAGTGTTTTGTTTTATTTTTCCAGCAGTGTAGCAGTAATATCTAGGGGATTGCCTGTATGTAAAGGGGAACTGCCTATACCAGTCTACTGATTGGAGACTGCTTGACAAAAAGAATGGCTGGGAGAAGGAAAGGATGGCAGAAGCAGTGAAACTTAAGGCCAAGGTCAAGAACATCAGCACCACACTCTCCTGAGTGAGCCACAGGCCGGACCCTTGTTGCAAATTTCTAAGAGCTAATGTCCTTAATTGCCCTGAGTCCCACATATATACTGTATAGCAGTATATTCACCCTGCCCGGAGAGCCCCAGACTCCACAATGACTTAAGTCCACTATTCCCCATCACAACTAGCATTGACTCAAGCAGGGTGTCACATGTTAAGAGGAAAAAAATCTGATTGAATTAATTTGCATTAATGTTGAATAACTGAAAGCCTAAAACCCTACCGGAGGCTTCTAAGTTTTTAATAGTTTTTTTGTCCCCACAAATTATCACTGGTAGGATTTTAGAAAGTATGATGAAGTGAGTGAAACATTCAGGTCATATGAGGATATATAACTTACTATATCCGGGCCTCATCCTGAGAGCCTATCCACTTATTTCCCAGTCTCTAGTTTTTGAAGTTTTTTTCCTTTTATTCTGGTTATAAACTCCCACTTTCTCTAAAAGTGTTTTGTTTTATTTTTCCAGCAGTGTAGCAGTAATATCTAGGGGATTGCCTGTATGTAAAGGGGAACTGCCTATACCAGTCTACTGATTGGAGACTGCTTGACAAAAAGAATGGCTGGGAGAAGGAAAGGATGGCAGAAGCAGTGAAACTTAAGGCCAAGGTCAAGAACCACTGCCCAGCAGCTATGGGGAACAGGCATTCTCACACAGTGTGGGTGGGAATACAGAATGGACCCGCCTCTATGGAGGGTTATTTAGAAATATCTATCAAACCTTTAACGCAGCAATCCTGCTTCTTGGAATTTATCTTATTGATAAATTACAGGTGTACAAAAAACAAAACAAAACATATAAGGTCATTGTTTACAGCATTTTTGTATTTCCAAAAGATTGGAAACAACCAAAATTCCATCAAGAGGGGACTCGTAAAATAACTTACAGTGCAAACATACAATGGAATCCTGTACAACTGTTAAAAAGAATAAGGCAAATTTATACATATTGATATGGAACAACCTATAAGATATATTGGTAAGTGGAAAAAGCAAGGTGCAGAACTGTATATATGGTATTCTGCCACGTATGTTTTAAAAATATGTACATCTAGGGGCCGGCCTGTGGCTCACTCGAGAGAGTGTGGTGCTGATAACACCAAGGCCACGGGTTCAGATCCCCATATACGGATGGCCAGTTAGCTCACTGGGTGAGCATGGTGCTGACAACACCAAGTCAAGGGTTAAGATCCCCTTACCAGTCATCTTTTAAAAAACAAAAAAAAATATGGGCCGAGCCTGTGGCGCACTCGGGAGGGTGTGGCACTGGGAGCGTGGCAGCGCTCCCGCCGCGGGTTCAGATCCTGTATAGGGATGACCGGTGTGCTCACAGCACTCACTGGCTGAGTGCGGTGCGGCCAGTCTCAAAAAGGACAAAAAAATAAAAATATGTACATCCACACATTCTTAGAGTATCTCCGGTCTGGAAGGAAATAAAATAAGTTGGTAGAAGTGGTTTGAATGTTTTACTTTGTGCATTCAAAATAAGTAGAATTCTTCCTAGCCAGAATATTAAGCAAGAGAAGTAAATAAAGGACATCCAAATTGGAAAAGAGGAAGTCAATTTTTCCGTGTTTGCAGGGGAAACAATCTTACATTTAGAAAAACTGGGTTGGCCGGTTAGTT